AGGAAACATTCAGAGCCAAGGTGAGTTTGAAAGTGCTCAGCTCTGTATAACACGAGCCACTGCACAATCTAGCCAGCAGTCTCAATTGCCTTATGCCAGAGCCTCTCAGAGGCCCAGGTCTGCATGCTGTTGGTCTTGCTACATGCAAAAAGGGAGTGGAAGTTGTTTCAGTTTCTAAGGGAAAGGCATCTGCCAGAGGAACATTGCTGACCATACAGCTAATGAAGCAAGTTTGTCATCCTCCAAATTCAGCCTGGACCACAAAGCCACTCCCTGGGTCACTAGAGTTAATAGTGAAGACCCGGCTGGCCACCTGACAGTACGACTCAGGTGCCAGGTGAGATGTGCGGTGGTGTTATAGTGCAGCCCCAGAAAGTAAGGGAGCAAATCACAGCACACTACTTTCTAGGCAGTGGTGCTAGGAGGTGTGGAGTTTCTCATTCAGAAAAAGCAGAAGGTGACATGTCAGCTTATCTCTGTCTAAAGAATGCCTACAGACTGGCCACAGTCTCCCAGATCAGGTGCACCTGCGGCAACCAGTGTTTCTGTGGGTGAGCAGAACTGTGCTCTGCATTCAGGTAGCAACAGTCACGGGGAGCAGGATCTGGGCAAGCAGCAGGGCAGCTCCTCAGCAAAAAAGAACTAGAGCAAAAGCTAAACGGAGCCCACAGGACCCAGAGCATTCAGGCATTTACATGAATGCTCTCTCCAGACAGGTCCAAGGGCTGGGCTCCTGCAGTGTATTGACTGGAGTGATAATCTACAGGGTGGCCTCTTGAAACGAGAGCAATGAAGAGTCAATTGCTTTGTTTGCTGACATTATAATTAGCTTGGCCTCAGCCTTGAGCATACTTGGCCATGTCTTTGTTCTTGGTTTCCTCTCTGGGGTGCCAGAACAACATGATCGCACTCTGGAGGTCAAAAGCTTCTACATTCACCTGAGGCCATTTGTGCCTGCAGTTAGTTGTGTCATGCCCACATAGCAGTGGGTGCCAATACAGGCATCATTTGAAATACTGCATGCTGAATGTGTGTAGCCTGAAGCTGAGCACATTTGGCCCCTACATGCAGCTCTACCAGGGTGCAGCTAATCCCCAGTACTCAGAGGTGCAGTCCCAAATGTTGCTTCTATGAGGACAGCCTCCATTTACCAGGCCATTGTTGAGTGAGCTTTCCCCTCCACCTCTAAGTGCCTAGAGTACCCTCAAGTCTTCCTCATAACTTTGTAGTTATACAATTAGTATTAATTACTGGCGTTCCCTCATCATAACACTTATTCACTCCCTTGCTCTTTACTTCCTTCATTGCGTCAGGGTTGTTCCGTATGTGCAAGAGACAGGCCAGAGAAGTGTGAAATGGAGAAGAATTTTTGCTCAATAACAGCCTGGATGCCAGTAAAAGAAAGGGCTAGGTGTGCTGCTGATGCTCTCTATGGGTGCTTCCTAAGGGCAGCACAGGTGTTTGCTCACCTCCCCGTGCAGGAGGGAGCATAGTGCTATTGTCAGCTTGAATTAGGAGGCAAAAGATGTGTAATGTTATAGGGAGCAATTTGCTTTCTGGCCTCCCTGCTGGTATGGTTTATGCGGAAAGCTGCCTTCTGGAGAAACTGGAAAGGTTTTTATGGCTCCATGTGCTGGCTCCAGGTTTAGCAGCTCCAGCCTAGATTGTGTTCTGGCTAATTGAAGCCTCCTGTTCCTAAAATCCTCTTATGCCAGGATTTGTTTTTTTATTTGTTTTTGAGGTGGAGATTTTTTTTTTCTTGAGCCGTTGTCTCCCATGCCTTCACTTTGAACTAATGTGTGGTAGGTTGAAGCCGAGACAGACTGAAGCCCTCTGGTATTTAGCGTGATCACAAGGCGCTGCAGGGTACAGGGCTGTTTTGCTTCTGCTTGCTCTATAACCCCTCTATAACTACCCATCTAAAGCCTAAGCCCAAGTCTCTTGCGTGATGATGTGAGGGAATGTGTATGAGTTCTGCAGGTTGTGTGATGGTATTAATGCTCCATGTGTACCTGCGTCACACTTCAACCTCCATTTTGAAGGTGGACCCCCTTTCCCCTGCTCCCTGCCACCCCAGTTTCCTCTGCTGCCCTACTGTCCTCTTAGCTCAAACTCCCCTGAGGTGTTGACAGGGGGCTGAGTATGGAAGGTCATTGATTTACTATACTATTAAAGTAAGAGCATGACACTAGGGTGACCTCTTTCCTGGGGAAAGAATTTATCAGGGGAGGAAACAAACCCCAGGCTGGCAATGAATTCACTTGGCAGGCTTCTATGATCACTGGAGCCAGCTGATCGGGACTCTCCTGATTGGTGGTTATACGTGGAAAGCAGCTGCTCTAATTTGGTGGAGGGCTTATGTTCATAAGGTTAAGGTGAGGAGAAATGATGTAGGATCCTTACAAGAAGCAGAAAGCCTTGTTTTCCTGAAGGATGGGGGAGAGACCGTGGGAAGTGTAAACTAGAATTGAGGGGCTTTGTGTTTTTTCTAAATGAACTTCATTTCCATGCTTTTCAAGGAAGAGCAATGGGCTGTTTAAGGACTGTGTGCATGTATGTTTGCTCAGGGCTCCTGAAGGCTTATGCTATAAACCAGAAGGCTCACACTATTGGTGATGAGAGCTGGGGAAGTTCAACCTCTTGGAGGAGTGAAGCCTCTAGAGATGGATCTGATCCTAAAGGGCCAGGCCATTGGGCACGGGACTCCAGCTCTCAGGGGACCTGCAACCCAAGGGGCAGCAGTGCCTTGGTCCCAAGCCAGGGACTGCCTGAGCTCTGTTCAGGCTCTGGAGGCACATAGTGCAGTCTCCTTTCAGCAATTAGATCGAGTGGCCAGCTGGGGGAGCCAGGCAACCTCTGTGACACCTGGAGGGCAGTAGCAAAACTTTCAGGGAGCACAGCACTCAAGCTTGGTGGGCAGGGTTGAAGTTTTCCAGGCGGTCACTAGAGCTGCTCAGCTTTGCTGCTCTTCCTTAGTAGCACAAGGGCTTGTGCATGTAGGTGTGTGAGGAAGCACTGCTGACACTGCCAGTGATGTTACACAATGATAAATGCTCACTGGTGCTGCCTTGGCTTTGGTGCCGTGTCCCAGCCCTGAACTGTGCAAGGAGGCAGGGGAGCAAGCCCTGGCAGGCGGGTTCTGATGCTGTTCTTTTGCACCACTGCAGGACTGAATGTTTCGTGAGCACAAGCCATGTTGTCTGGCTTGGCTGGACAGCATAGGAAGGCAGCACCAGGGAGAACAAGAGGCAGGAGCAGGCCCTGCAGCTCTCTGCTTCTGCCCCTGCTTGGCACATTGCTGGACTGCTTTTCCCATGCTACTGCCACAAGGTTCATAAGGCTCTTGCTGCTGACTGTGAAGGAGGTTTAGTTCTGGTGTGGGCGCTGCAGCAGGGGGCTCTAGGGAGACATTGCATTTCCCTCTGTTCTGCCCATCAGGAAAATAACACTGCAAGAAGAGTGGCTGCTTTATTGTTCAGGGTGAGTGCCATGACCCCAGCTACACTGCCTGTGCTATTTTATAAAACATACCAGAAGGAGAGTGAATGCCCAACCAAATTCTAGGCTTCAGCCTGATTAGCTGAGCCTTGTGAAGCAAAGAGCCCTGGTCTTTGCCAAATTTACTTTGCTATATAATAAGTTATAAAAGATGAAATGAGAAGAGCCAGGAGCTCATTAATGTAATCACAGAACCAAGTGTGAAGAAAGCATTCCAAAGCCAGAGATGTGCTGACTGTTTAAGCTCACCCCTTAGTCAAGGTGGGGTTTGCTTTCTCCAACCTGAAGAAAAGCTTTCTGGTTTGTTCACCTCCTCTCAGCTGATGTGTAACACCTTGGCAGGCACTAGTTAGCAGTGAGCTGTGCATTATCTGTGGCTGTAATGGGAGTGGGTGGAAGTGCCCATGAAGTGGCTGAGCAGTTCGGTCATTGCTGGATAATGCTACAGCCGCATCCTGTCTTGACAGGCAAGGAGGTGCTGTGGGTGTGTGTCTACCACCTCCTCAGTGAGCCTGGGAACCCCAGTAAGCAATATATGCCACCCACCTGCACCTGTGCCATGCACTCTCATGTGACCAAGCTGGCTTATCATTTGGCAATAGGCCCAGCCTTACTCAGGAGACAGGGCTGAAGGTGGGAAAAGCTAAGGATGGAGTATGTGAAATCCCACTTGTCTCTCAAACTTAGGCACTTCACTCAAGCATCTATGTGAGAATGGGAGGCACAGTCCCAATCCAGGCCTGCTCTTAGGTCCACACAGGTCACAGACTCACTTAAGATGGCAGTGGGGAGGGTACTGCTGCTACCCACCTTTTGCCCAACAGCCTAGGGGCACTAGCACTCATGCAGAAAGGAGAAGCCCCAGATGCCAAGCCAGGGGTAGGGCAGGGCGAGGACTGAACCTACAGGGATTGTTTCCCAAGCCAATGCTGTAGCTACTAAAATATGGTCTGGACAGGGAAGGAAGAGACCTGTCACCCCTTCCACTGAAGTAGAACCACCAGGAAGCCAAAACTGCAGGAGTCCTTGGCCAAATGGAGAGAAAGTGTGATGATGTGTGGCTCTTTACAAGCTTGGGGCCAGGCGTGGGCAAGGGCAGCCTTGGGTTCTTGCACCTGCTGTCAGGATTATCTCTGGTTCCTAATCAAGACCTCATTTATATGAAATGCATAAACAGTCCTGGGAGCCGGAAACACAGGATTGCCTACAAAGAACCAACAGCTCCCTCTGAAATGCAGTGTGTCTGCAGATGTAGCTCTTTCCCCATTCCCTGGCCTCCTGAGCTGTTTTTCCTAGTGCTCTGAGTTTCAACATTAGTTTTCTCAGTACTATATTATAGCTGGTCCTGACCCACCTAACCCACCGAGCCTTGCATGTGAGCCTAATGCAAACTGAAGGTGTGGGGCATGCGTTTTCTCAGTAGTTCTTCTAATGCCCACTGATGAAGTGCAAAACATGCAAAGGGAACAGAAAAGTGCATGAGAAAGAAAGGCTGGGACATGTTAACCAAATCCATATATAGTGTATTTCTGGTTCCTTTAACAGACCATTCCCAAAACTCTCAACAAGTTACTATTAGAAACAGAACAAAAAAAAAATTACACACGAACACTCCACATTCAGAATCCAAGTTAATGTCAGTCTGTTTCTTTCTTTTGACGTCATATATGTTTTGGTAAGCCAGCAAAATGGAGAAATGTCTTCAGTTGCTTTCCCTTTCTGGAAAGGTGACAACACAGATTAATGCCAAACAGATCCAAGCCCCTTCCGGGCTTCCTGGAATGACACATGGTACCTTCAGACCACGTTGGTGGGCTGCCACCTTCCCCCACCCTAGTGTAATGCACCCCCCAGTCCCATGCACAGTAGAAGGATACCTCAGTGTCAGCAACGGGTAAGCTGGGGAGCCAGAAGGCCTACAAGCCTTGAGTTTCTGCACCGCTTGGTGCTGTTTATTGCAACCCTGCCCATTGGCAGGTCATAGCTCAGATCCCCAGGGCTTCCCATCTGCTTGTCTAACACTTGTTTAACACTTCATATTTTTTAAAAAAATAAAAAATTTATGGATGTAATGGTCAAATGATGTGAGCTTCTGGTAAAGCAAACAGTCTCAGGAACCCTCTGCTGAGGAAAGCCTCTCCGCAGCTGCTGTGTCAAAAAAAAAAAACCCATTGGCTGTTTTAGTAGGATTTGTTCCAGGGGCCAAGCACACGTGGTTAGGCCACCAGGTTCTCTTTGGCCCTCTTCTCTCCCAGTCTGTGCTTTCCTTCTGCAGCAACTGTCCGCTTGACCCTGGCTTGCTTGGGAGGCTACACGAGCGATGCCACTTCTAGTCATAACTCCGTGATCTCCAGAGGGCTTTCCATAATCACCTCCCTCATCTTGTGCATAGGGGTAGATTTGGCAGACTCTGTGCGAGCATTGCGGTCATTATAGCCCCCTGAGTCTGCATTCAGAGTCTCCAGGGACCGCCCCAGCACCTTTTGGTCATCCTCTGGCAGGCTGCTGAGATCGGATGTGAGCAGTGTGCCTGTGCTGCCATGCACCACATGGATGCCGTCCGGCCCTTTGATCTCCACAGGCTGCTTGTGCCGGAAGCGAAGGCTGCCCTGACTGGCGCTGTGCTCCTCCTCATTATCCAAGTCATTCTGGATCAGCTACAAGAAGCCCAAGCAGAAATCAACATCAGGGCTTAAAGCAGAGACACTCCCCTTCCCTTCCCCTGCCTCTGTCAGCATTGCTGCTTGTCACCGGCAGTCCTCCACCAAAGGTCCTAACCTGCTGCTCTGAAACAAGGGGCCAGCCTGAGGGGATAATGACTCCCCCTAGCTGTCCTTCCAGGCAGCTCCACAGCACCAGTTGCTTTGCTATGTCATCATACTAAAGCAGAGTCTGAGACAGCCCCTCGGTGGTCATTAAGCACAAAGACCCAATGCCGTCTCTGCCTTTGGACAGCTGAGGAGCATTTTCTAAATTAGCTGTGTTTGTAGCATCCAGGGCCATGTCTGTGGATTTTTAGCCCTAACACTTCCCTGGGGAAGCTGTGTAACTTACAAAACAACAGAAGAGAAAGAGGGGAGGCCCTCCAACCTTTCAGTCCAGCGAACAGAAGATCCAGGTTGTAGGCACCTGTGGAAATCTGGACCTACATATCCTGCGTCCTAGCAAAGTGATTAATCACCAGGCTGTAGATTAGGAAATTCTAAAAGCACCTTATACAGAGTCCTCCCACTGGGCAGCCATGAGGAGATGACATGTGCCAGCAGGAAGAAAAGAAGGCAGAGGTTGCGTGGCTCAGGATGACAGGTATAGCATTAGAAATAACTTCCCCTGCCCCTAATGACATGGCTAAAATTTGCATTTAATATAAAGGTCATGGCAATTATCATGCTGGGACTAAACCCAGGACTTGCTCCCTTCTAGGACTGTGCACAGCCTTCTGAGTCAGACACCCTCTACTTAGTACACTTCCTCCTGGCCCCACATATCTTTCCCTCTGGGCTGTCTAGTGGGCCATCTACAAAAGAAAGGCTGATAGGTACTCAGGCAACACCTAGCCCATGCCACAGGGATGAAAACATTTTCATGAGAAGTGGGAGATAAAGGTTCAAATCTCCTCTGCTTTGGGTGGGGAACTAAAAGGTGGGAGGCTCTCTTGTCATCACCAGAAAGCGGAGCTGGGCCTTGATCAAACCTGTAATCTTCATTCACTCTTATTTATTTTGTATTGTAATGGTGGACGTAGGGCCCTGTGGTATTAGACAGTACAAACAGATAGTGGGAATGCCATCCTCAAGCAGATTACAGAAGAAATGATTTAAAAATGGTTTTGGTTCTTGTATCACAGTAATGCCTTTACATGGCTTTTGGAGCCATAGTGGGCTTGGAGGGCTGGTCATTTAAAGTCTTGTGAAGCACAGGATGAGTTTAGGTGGGAGATTCCAACTGGAGGTCCTCACAGAGACTTTACCTCAAGAATGCATGGAAATAGATGCCTTTTGATATCATATGTTGACTGTTTTTTAAGGTGGTTGGGCAGGGGAGTGGTTTCTGGGGCAGGCCTTGAGGGAGGGTGGATGGCAGGAAGTTGGGAGGGACCTGAATGAAGGAACCATAACTGGGAGGGGATGGGTTTGCCAGTATGACTGAGCATTAGTGAACAGGGCTGTGCATGTGAATAAGGATGTCAAGGTAGGAGGAAGAGAATTAGGAAAGTAAAAATCAGCATGGAGCTGGGGTCTTGGGAGTGTAGCTGACACTGGGAGCAAACAGCACAGAGGGCAGAGGCTGAAAGGGTTATCTCCCATTTCCTACTCTTTTCTGTAATGTGCCCTGGATTTCCATACTGAGAGGGGGGTGGTGATGGGAAAGGGGCCTCTCACTCTGCTACTTCTCCACTAACTTCCCTCACTAACGCTCTGTCCACAGTACTCCAGCTGTGTCTCACTTTGTATTTTGAAAATCTGGTTAGTGTATTGATGGAGGGGAGCCTGACCAAGTGCTGCTGGTCAGGCTTAGCCATGGGCATTGAGGGGGAAGATTGGATATTTGACAGTATCCTATAGAACAAACAACTTAGGTGAGAAAAAGTTTGGACGGCAGGGAGGAGGAGCTGAATGGCAGAGATGGTGAGTCTGCCTGATGAGATGCACAGTGATGATTAATGGGAAGTAAAATAGAGATGCAAATGGAGGAAAATGAGGAGCCACACGTTGGACAGAGCCTGAGTTAGAGACTATAGCGGAAAATCACTAGGGTATGTGAAACTAGGCATGATAAGACATAGATTTAGGAGTGCTTCACCATGATGGTGGAAGGAGCTGAAGGGAGGGGATGAAGCTGCCTAGAGAGAGAACCAAAGATTACAGACATGAGAGACTCCAATACATGAGGGGAAAGAGGAAGAGGGCCACCCAACAAGATGCTAAAGGAGCAGGTACCACTGCAGGAGAGCAGAGAGCCGCAGAAACAGAAAGTCCACTCAACCAACTAGCCTGATCAGGGCAGTACATTTTATATGCTCATTCCAAAGAACAAACAGCAAGCTGGGTAAAGGGGGAACAGACAGGTAGTTGGGGGCTTACATAATAACTGGGGAGTGAAAGGAGTGTCAGTGTGGAGAGTTTTGAAGGAAATAGTTGCCTTGTTGCCAGACTCATACTGAGAGATGTTCTTTGGTGAGGGATGTTCCAACAGCCTAGCAGTATTCAAGCATCATTACATCTCAGCACCATGGAGCTGAGACAATCAGGAAAGTGGATATTGCTGGAACAGTCCCCTGGGCCAGTTCAGTGCAGTGTTTTGTATCTCTGTCCTTAGGTGAGAGGATAGAGGAGGCCTCTGGCACCCGTCTGATTGAGGTGGCAGTTATAAGCAAACATAATTTGATAGGGCAAAGGAAGAGGGGGGCACTGATGGGCACCCAACAGAGTTTAGAGTAGGTCAAAAGCATAGAGAAAGACACTCCATCCCAGAGGGCACAGCAAGCCTTTTTTTTGAAGTCCATGCACACACACGTTCTACCTCAGTGACTGAGGACTGGTCCCCCTGACTGGCAGTGGTGGCTTTATGCACCATCCGCTCGGCAAACAGCTTTTTCAACCGCATGTAATCTTCTAAGACCACCTTCAAGAGAGAGCCCTGGATGGAAGGGGCAACAGGGGATGTTACGCATGGGCTCCTTTCCCTCATCCCCAAACTCTGAAACTCCCTTTTTAAGACAGCCTGGGTGAAAAACCAACCACATCCAGGAGGAACCAGCCAGGCATTTCCCAAAACAATCCTACCCTCAAACAAAACTATTCACAGTGGGCGCATCTACACATGCATCAGTGCACTTTTCCTAATGCACATTAAATTTAGTGCCTCAGGTGCCTATACAAGAGCATGGAGGCTGCTCTGATGTGCTGGAATTCCAGTGTGTTGGAGCAGTCTCGATTAACTGAGTCTGATGCAGCATGACCATTGCTGTGCTCCAGCAGGCTCCTGCATCTCATATATCAGTGTCCCTGTCCTTAAAAATGGGAGCATGGACATGCCAAATGAACTTTAATTTAAGTGCTCCCACCACCATTTTTAAGCGCAGGAATGCTGATACAGGAGAAGCACTGGAGCTTTAATTAGAGTGGTTCCAAGAGCTGCTCTAATTAAAGCGCACCCTCTTCCCCCCTCCTGGAGCATATGTAAAAGTACCCTCCAATGTGAGGTACTAAATAAATGTGCATTAGGCTGCCCTAATGCACAGTGCCAAAAGCACATGTTTTTAAGTAACGTTTAATGCACAGTAGTCTCCTTCATTGCGCATTAGCGTAATTGCACATTTTTTTACGTGGCACTTTAATGTGCAGTAAAATAGGCTACTGTGCATTAAAGTACACATGTTGAGGCACCCAGTGGTACTTAAAAAAATGAAAACACTGTTTCAATCTGGTGGAAATGAGCATTAAATATGGCACCTGCCACACAGCCTTTGCATTTTTTCAACAGGTGGAGGCCGTAAATGGCTTTTCTGCTTCAGGGTGGTGCTATGTCTACCCAGGTCAATTTCAGAGCTGTATTCCCTGGGAATCCCCAGTTGACACATATGTAAGGACTACACTGGACAGTCCTAGGTTTTGGTCTTAAAAAAGAGGTAGCACAGGCTAATCTGGAATATGAAGCCCTGAGGTAACCTCTTGTTTCCTTTTCTGCTGTCTTCATGGATAAGGATAATGACTGGTGGTAAGTGATGGGGGCTCCTGGATAGAGGCAGAGGAAGCTAGCCCCACTCACCTTGATGGGTCCTTCCCTCATGATCTGACCTAGTTTGGCAATGTTATCATATTCCTGAATGGCTGCTCGCAGGTAACGGTCATCTTCGGGCTTGGCAGCAGAGGGCTCTCTTCCAAATGTCCCCTATGATGAAAGGAAGCTTCTGAAAACAACATCTGCAGAATTTAGGCAGAACCAGCCCCATCCTTGGGGTCAGCTCTCCTGTTGGTGTTCTCTTTCCAATTCACTATGCCCTCTTGCAGCCTGCAAGCAAAACCTATGTACATCATTCCTGATTTCACTAAGGCTTAACCCCTTGCAAGTGCAGTAAGTTCAGTGTTAGTAGCAATGCAATGTACAATACATGATTGCTGAGCAAATCTAACACCAGGGGAAAGAATTTTTGAGGTGTTAAGCAGAAGAATAAAAGATCTTAAGTGCATATCACAAAACTAGTGCCATATTTGGAATGATTGTATCAGTCTAGGCCAGGGACAGGCAAAGTCCAGCCTGCAGGACACATCTGGTCAGTCAGGACTCCATTTCCCAGCTGCCCCTGCCCGCATTGCTTGCACCAGTCTCCATGGAGACCCCAGCTGCACCTGGTGGGAAAGCTCAGCTGGGGTTGCCATGGAAACCAGCCTCAGCTGTGCCAGCAGTGCATGCGGCAAAGCAGCGTAGGGGGCTGCTCCTGAGCTGCTGGGAATTTGGGATGGGGGCAGCTTGGTCCAGAGCCAGGGCAGCGGTGCAATCTGTAGCCTGCACCCTCCATACAGGGGTGCGCAAGCAGCGGACCAGAGCTCTGCCCCGGCTCCAGGCCAAGCTGCCACTGCTGCAAGGAGCCGGGGCAGAGCTGCCATCCCCTACTTGTGCATTTCTGCCTGGAGCATGCAGGGCTTCAGATCATGGCTTTGCCTGGGCTCCAGAGCAAGCTGCCCCCATCCTACCTTCCCAGCAGCTCCAGAGCAGCCTCCTGCGCTGCTTGCTGCCTGCGTGGCTGAGGCTGGTCTCCATGGCAACCCCAGTATGAGCTTTCCCATGCAGATGTGGCTGGGGCCTCCATGGAAACTGGCACAAGCCATGTGGGCAGGGGCTGCTGGGAAATGGAGTCTGGCTGCCAACTGGATTTGCCATTTTGCCCACCCCTGGTCAAGGCCATTTAGCAGTGCTAAACTAAGGATCAATGATCAGTAAACTAAGGCAGTAAAATAAATCAGTAGATTAGGCAGTAGGCTGTGATCAGGGCTTAGGCCAGTGGGAGCAGGGGAATGATACACTCATGGGACCATGTGTGGGAAGCTTGACTAGACTCTTAACTTAGTTGTATGGTGCCCACAGTGATTCACAGGGGCACAATTCCCTCCTTATTTACAATGGTGTAACCTTATTGACTGGAATGGGATTACCAATGATCTGCACAGGTAATCCTAAAAAAACAACCAGGCCCTCGAGAATTCAGGCTGAGTTCTCTCTCCATCCCCTGAGGCAAGAATAAGAAGGGTCCTCACATGAGTCCTGGCTGGGCTATTCCATAGGTCTGTGATTTCACTTAGGTTTTCAGGTAAGTCATCTTCATGCTCTGCTTGTGCTGCCAGCTCCATGTTCCTGCAGAAAGGATCTAACCACACGGGGTTAGCTCTATAAAGAGGGACAAGAGATGGGGTTAGTGAGTGGGGGCAGTAAGACAAGGCCTGCCCACCTCTGTTCTCCAGAAATGGTAATTTCTTGAAATCTTGCCATACCCCTCTCTCCCCCTTAATAATCCCAGAACAGGCAATGCCATCTTCCCTTCTTCCCCCACAACTGGAACATGACCTTGCTTCACCCTCCTCTGAACACAAGTTGTGGTTACATTAAGGGGCATATTTCTGCATGAACTAATCTACACACCTTGATCAAGCAATTACACCACCAGGCCAATTGATAACTACAGGCAAAAATCACTTGCTCTGCACCTGTCCATGACGGTGTCTCTATTTACTGCCACAGAAATTCAAACTTCTTCTGTACTTGTGCCCTTCCAGCACCATGTTTCACAAGTCAAGAGTGTATTGGTGCTGATGGGGATGGATTACTAAAAAGCATGCCATACATTGCTCAGAAGAGATTCTCATCTAGATGATTTTAGGGTGTTTCTTGATCTAGCAATCTGTGGAATCCCAGCTTTCAGAGGAAAGTGATTGCTGAGATGCTTTGTACTGGAAATATCAGCAGAAACCAATGAGGGTCCTAAGATATGTGTTCTGCCTACAGACTAACAGGGAATCCTCTCACTCAGTCTTCTAGAGTGAAGTTGGAGAGACCTCTCTCCCACCCAAATGTGCTGAGGACTCACCCATCAAAGGAATATTTATTTGTGTTTGGCATATCCATGATGTCCATGAAGCCTCGGTTTCCTGAAAAAGGTAGTGATTGAAGGTTACAGACTGATTTACAGATTCATAGATTGTAAGCCCGGAAGGGACCTTGGAAGATCATCAGGTCCAGCCACAGGTACCAAGCAGGAAAGACAACTTAGGGTCAGATGACACCAGCAAGGTGATTGTCTGGTCTCATCTTGAAGCTTTCCAGGGTAGGTGATAGCACCACCTCTGGAGGGAGCTTATTCCATAGTCTGGACACCCTGAGTGTGAAGAAGTTTTTTCTAATGTTGAGCCTGAATCGGTCTTCTAGGAGTTTGTGGCCATTAGTCCTAGTTTTCCCCTCAGGTGTCCTGGTGAACAGTTGCTCACCAAGCCACTGATGTACTCCCCTAGTGTAACCAGGTCCCCTCTCATCCTTCTTTTCTTCAGGCTGAAGAGCCCCAGATCCCTCAGCCTTTCCTCGTATGGCTTGCTGCATAAGAGTTTGATCATAAGGGTGGCTCTTCTTTGGACTCGCTCAAGCTTGTCCATGTCCTTGTTAAAGTGTGGTGCCCAGAACTGGACACAGTATAGGTTATAATTTTTGGTGATTTCATCAAAGAATGAAAAAATGTGGTTTTATTTGAGAAATGGATCAGCCAAACGTAATAGATTAATAGATATTAGGGTTGGAAGGGACCTCAGCAGATCATTGAGTCTGACCTCCTACCCCAGGCAGGAAAGAGTGCTGGGGTCAGATGACCACAGCCAGGTGCTTGTCCAGTCTCCTCTTAAAGACCCCCAAGGTAGGGGAGAGCACCACCTCCCTTGGCAGCCCATTCCAGATTCTGGCAAACCTTACGATAAATAAGGTCTTTCTGATGTCTAACCTGAATCTGCTCTCTGTCAGTTTGTGGCTGTTATTTCTAGTTACTCCCAGGGGTGCCCTAGTAAACAGAGCATCTCCTATCCCTTGCTGTCCCCCTCCCCCAATGAATTTGTAGGCAGCCACAAAATCACCTCTTAGCCTTCTCTTGTGGAGGCTGAAGAGATTCAGGTCCCCCAGTCTCTCCTCATATGGCCTTACCTGCAGGCCCCTAACCATGATGTTTATACTGGCTGAATAACAAACAATATCAACACATGACTCTCAGCATACATCTACTCTACCTGGAGCAAGAACTGTGAAGAAAAGATCAGCCCCCTGCAATCTAAAAGAAACCACAGTAATTCTATTGCACAAACTCCTCTCTCATTATCACCCCTATGTCTCTTTTGATATTACAGATTCCTGAATTCTTCCCTCATATCAAATCTGTGTGTGTGTGTTTTACACTATTCCCCCAGCATGTGTATTAGTTTGCATTTTTCCAAGATAATGCCAACAAAGAACCCCAAAATCTCTCACCTGTAGAGCCAGCCACAATAGCTTTTAATTTTCTTTTGTGCCTACAAAGAAACAAAAAAAAGTCTTAACAATAAACTGAAAGTAGGAAGAAAGCCTTAAAGGAGAGATGTGTAAAACCAAGGAACATGCATATGCAATGGAACAGTGTTTGAAATCCTTTCCCTATATATAATCATAGCACTTAGAAACTAAGAAAAGCCTGTGTTTTGAGGGCATTTTCAGAAGCAACATATTAGCTCAGGTGGTGGCTTCTTTCCTTGACTGGACTGTCTCATCTGGAAAAGATGTACACTTCTAGTCCCTGCAGACAGGTTCTTGATATCAGGAGAGGGTAAGAGATTTTGTTTCTAGGTTCACAGGGTAATGTTCTATAACATGTACATTATAGGAGCCCAAGATGCTTTTGAAACTGCTGCCCTTAGTTTCATGCAATCCAAGATCCAGTTTACCAGGATGTTAGATTAACCACTGGTCCAAGATACCCCGACTGCAAGAATAACTAATCATGTGCTATTGTGTCAACTTATTGTTTTGACTTATTTTTCCTTATGGTGGCCAAGCATTTACATTTAGTCATATTATAGAGTTGTCCTGCAATCCCAGGGCCTTGGGGTCACTTACACTGTTCTGTAGTACCAGTTCATGAGGATGAAGAGCATGGCAGCCAAGAAGAGGAGGACAGCTAAGATAATTATCGCCATCTAGATAAAAAAAAACAAATGATTTTTAGTACATGTGAGTGACTTCAAACATGCAGCTGGGCTGCTTACTTAGAGCAAACAAGTGTCTCATTATATTAATACAAGAGAAAGAGTTTCCAAGTTTTATGCAGCCATTGGGTGAGGGAGAAGAGTCATGCTGTAAAAAGGAATGGTGGACCATCTGCTAGTGCTTGCAATAGAGCAACCTGGGTATTAACGTGTCTGTCTAAGTCAACTCATCCCACTCTGTTGGGCAACAAAAGATTCACAGGAAAATCATTCTTTTGAAGTGATGTCAGAACCAGGAAATACCACATTCCTCTTTCAAGGAGGCACTATGGAGGCAATCATAGGTGAAGTTATATGTTCCATTTAGACCATACTATGAGCACTAAAAATGTGCCAGTCCACAAGTTAGAGCCTGTTAACTTGTGCCAAGTGCTCTCTGAGCATCTCAAAGTTCTACCTTCAGATGAGGGTTAACGCTGGGCCATGCTATCTAGCTCATGTTAAAGTCACTTCAATCTGCTCCACAGAAATAAAAAGAGCAACTGCAGTCCTCCAGCATCCGAGGATGCATTGCTTCCAGCCATTTTGCCACCCTGACGCAGAGCAGGGATAGAGCACAGGTAGGTCCTGGCTCCTAGCTATGCCCCTGCTCACCAGCCCTCTAGTGGCAAGTCAGAGCTGTGCAGGTAAGAAATGGTATTAACCCTTAACATGCACCTCCTCATAACACAGTTTAACTTTAGCACCATTTAACATTCCACAGATTTAGTAAGATCTAAATGTAATGTGTAACTTTACCCTACAGAAAAGCACTTTCTTTTGGTGTTACTTATGTGAGTGGGCAGAGTAACTATGCCTACCTATCTGCTGGGAAGTGAAAGGGCTGCTAGTATGTGTAGATAGGAGTTCAAAGAGGACACTCTCCTCTACCTGCAATGCTGAGAGATCATCTGGGGCCCGGGCAGTGATAGCAGGCTGCACATCCAGCACATTGTAATTTCTAAAGAGATTCCTCAGCTGCTCCTTATTCTCATCAATCATTTGAATCACTCTAGAAAGAGGAGAGGAAATATTTTGGATAGAGGACATTTTCTTTTACTGAAGACTGAAAATGAATTTTTAACAGTTCAACGCAATGCACAGATTCCCCTAATACCACATAATATAATGGAATGTGTATGGTGAAGCTCACACCTTGGGCAGCTTGATTGGTGCCATAATTAGTTTTTCTTTAACTGTGGCCACCAGCAGTGGCCCAACTGTTCGCTCTCATAACCAGATTCTGGGACAAGCTAATGTTTTCCAGAAAGTGCATCTTGACCTTTGCTGGCAGAAGTTTTTGTTGATGGAGATAAGGCAGCTGTCATGGGCTTTAGGGCAATGTACCATGGGTAATATCTACTTCATTATCCTTGCAGACCTAGAGATTGGGACAGCATGCCTAAGTTTGACATGATGCTGAACACAACCTGACCATTTTTTTTATATTGACCAGTCATGATCAGACCTGTATCCAATGACGCCTGTTCAAATGCTGTAAGAGTAAGCACAAGCCTATACAGAATAATGCACTAGACCTAGCATTGCTGGCAACACTGCACTGATTATGAAGTACCCTTAGGTTTAAGTGCACCTTACTGATTCTTGATACATGAATGACCCTCTTCCTGCTTTGTCTTCCCTCCCTCATAAATGCATATAGACACGATGGCTTACCGCTCCACATCCAGGATCCTGTTGGTTTCCCTGTTCACTACATGGATCAACAATTCTGTCTGGGCAAAGTTCACACGGCCTTTTTTGTCAACATGGAACTAGAAAAAAAAGGGAGCAGATTGTCCACAACACATGCGTTGGCTACATGCCTCATTCTTGGGCAGCCACTCCAGGTATGTGCCAGGGATTTGTGTTTTCCTGGCAGAAATTCTCAAGTCCTAAGCTATGGGGCTGAGACCCAGTTTAAAGGAGGTATATAACCATTAGCCAGCAAACAGAGATTACTTCCTCTCGGAAACATTTGGCTCCTCCCACTTGTTTGCACTAGTCTGTTGTGCCTTTATTCCTCCTTCTACATGAAGAAACATATTTTGTCCTAGGATGCATTGCTGCCAATGCTTGCAAGGACATAGTGATTTGAACAGAGAAGGACATCAGAAGCTCCTGACTTCTACTCCCAGCTCTGTCACTGACTTGCTTTGAGACCTTGACTTAGTCACATCCTCCTGTGTCTGTGTAAAATGTTATTTACTTACCATACAACCAAATTAGTTTTTCTCTGAAATGCATGTTGAAGACTCAGGTTTATACAAGTGCTAAGGAGTTCTGCTAGTAGCATGAGTGTAAGACACCTGCAGAATAATGTGAGGGAAGCCTTACCTCTCCCATAAGCAATTTCCTGTTTCCAGGACCATGACAAGGGATTGTTCCTGTTTACACGCTCCTGCAGTTTATTCACCAAACCAACGGATGATCACAAGGATCACATGTTCTCCCTGCTGGCTCTCTTCAAATGTGCTAGCTTATCTATGGAGAGCCAGGCTGACAGTCAAGTATGATGCAGAGGACTGGGTACTTCACTGTGGCCATTACAGCTTATGAGGGTTAGAAGAGGGGCACATGCTCTGCTATCTGGAAAGTAGTTACATATAAAACATGGGGTCTCTTCAGCTATTAAGGAGGAAGCACCCATTCTTCTCACCCTTGGATTTCCAACAGGACAACTCCAGTGGACATCTCCAAGAGCATGGTTTAGTTGTGAACATAACCCTTTCTATCATGGTGCTTTCCTACTCCATGCTTAGTTTCACAGAGAGTGTGAGTGGTGCACTAGTGCATCAGGGTATAGTACTTGACACGGGCCAGATGGTACTGTTACCTGCACATCATCTGTGTTGACAATAGCCCCTGTGATGTTGGAGAGCAGACTGATGAACTCCTCCTCAAACTGCCGCACTTTGTCAGGGATCTCATTGATGATGATTTTCACTCGCTGGTCATCTCGCAAGATGTAAATTCCAATTATAGCTGTGTCATTGTGGCCAGCTAGGTCTGAAGCCATGATATCCACTACAAAGTAGCCAGGGTTGTAGGCTGTAAAGAGGTCAAAGGTCCGCAGGATCCCATCAAAAGTACCTTTGAGAAGAGACCATGACAAGTCATGAATTAGCCCAAGCATAGTAATAAATACATCAAATTGTGCTATCCAGGCCAGGGCTCTGGCAGGGCCAAGCTGGGAATGACACAATCTGATCCCCAACTGGGGAGCATGTTATCCCTGACTTGGGGCTTTCCCATCCTCACTCAAGCAACACTTACACTTGAGCTCAATCCCCAGCCAAGGTCTATTGAAGCAATTTCAAAAGAAAGAGTAAAGGAGCAGGTGTTCTCCATTAATACAGTGCATCTTCCTAAAGAATCAGTGCAGCCTCATCAGCTGATTGCTATGGGGCAACTGCTGTGGCGCCACAGAGCATGAATATTTGGTTGAAAACCTAAGGTACCCCTATAAGCTTCCCTAAGAGCTGGGTTACCTACAGTTTTGGGCACTATGCCATGGATGAGTGAGAAACTTCAGATGCCTGTGCTGTCTGAAATCACTGAGATGTGAGAACTTCCCTGCTTGAGGGCCCTACAGCTACTCACCAATGCTGAAGACACTGGCCACCTCCACTGAGTCATTGGTGTGCTGCTTGATATAATGGATGCCCAGGATGCTGTACATAACCAGGCTATTGTTGCCCACATCAGTGTCCACTGCTAGGACTTTGATCAACTCTGAGCCCACCTTGGCATCTGTTGCAACCCCTTTAAGAAAGAAAAAGGATGGGATGTTTATGATGTGGGCAAATAGCTGAGCTTATAATTACATCTGAGAGTACACAGGTATTGTAAGGAGGTGTTTTTCTTGCAACTGTCATCTTCTGTTCCTCTAAAGAGGAGATAACACCCCTTACTTCCCATAATAACCCCTGAACCAGAAGTCTCCTTACTTATCTTGTGTTTCCTCTATGGAAGTAGATTGTAACTGGCCATGAAGTGTGGCAGCTCAGAGATGATTTGGCAGGTTGTTTCAAGTACCCTCCACTTTCTTTTTGGAGAAATTTGTTTTTTTCCTCTTGTACAGTTTTCCCTTCCAGGGGTCCTGGGGCCCTTGCTATCCTAGGATACTCAGGATCTTAGTTTGCACATCCTACCTGTTATTTTATAGTTTCACCCTAGAAAAAAAGTGATCCAAGTAGCAGGACACATTTTCGTAACATTACCGCAT